TGAAAAATTTCCCTTTTAAAAATTTTTGCAAATAATGTCATATGTTCCCTTTCAAAACTTTCTACTTATCCTTTTCCAATTATAATCTAAATTTATAAAATAAAATATTAGTTAAATGCTGGCTTTGACTGTGGAAAAGGCAATTCCCAGTGATTCGGCAACTGCAGGACGAAACGATTGGAATTGAGAGGGGAAGAGGGACCCGGGAAGCTGGGAGAAGAGGGGAGGGCTAGGGAAGAGGATGGAGGAAAGCCAAATAAGTAAGATTTCATGTTGTTTTTACCTCAAAAGACAAAAGCCGCCGCCTTTACCAATATTATCGTTTTAAAATTGGTACTGGAATAAGCGTAGAAAATGTGGTTAACGTAGAACTGTTTATCTTTATTCAGTGAACAAATAATATCGATTCTTTGAAGAACATGGAAAGAGGCAATTTTGAAGCGCCGCCACAGCTGAGTCACTGCTTTGATAGCCGAGAAATGACATTAATTTTTGGGCAACCAATTAATGTTAGTATTTGCCGAGCACAATATGCTGAGTGCTATAGAAGAGCAGAAATGAAAAGAAAATTAATAAAAAGTCAAAAACACCCGAAAGAAATGAAAATTTGAAAAATGAAAAATCGATTGCAAAGCATTCATGAATTATGGCATTTCTAGGATAGAGATATAGAGATGCTTCTTTTTTTTAGGCACTGATGTTTATAGTACTTCGATAATAGAGATACTTAATTATGAAATACATAAAAATATGAATTAAACTATATTAAATAAAGATCATGATAAAAATAAAGAAAATCATGACACAGAAATCATGATGTATTAAATATGATATGCGCAAAAATATGAAATTATATTTTAAAAAAAATCATGATTACATGGTGTTCCACAATGCATCAAGATAGAGACTTAAAAAAGAGAGAAACGGTCCTTCATAATATTTCTGAAAAGATTTTTACTTCGCGAATTTCAGGAGAAGTTGGTGGCATTTGAAAAGTTACGGAAATGTGCTATGGTTGTGTGTATTTGCGAATTTTATAAATAGCGCCGATCGTGTGATTATGCCAATAGCAATCAGCAGCATTGCGGCTGAGTTCGACTACTCCCTGATACAGCAGGGCTGGATTCTCAGTGCATTTCCAGCCGGCTATATCAGCTCACAGGTGTCTTTTTAGACTTTCAGTTCAGGAACCAGAAAAGCTGGGAAGCTGAAATTTTGGTAGGATGTTCCCTGTTCAAGTGCGATCCAGCAAATTTAAATTCAGCCTTCCCGTGCCCGCGGTTAAAACATATGGCTCAGAGGATTTTTTGTGAAAGAATTTTTTTTAATAAACGAGATTTCTCCCGTGTATTAGTTTCGAAATCAAATAGAAATGCTTCTGTGTTGTGTGATATTGCGGACACGGGTGTAATTAACAGACTGCTTCCATAAAATAATTCCCACACGTTGAAGAAGTGGTGGAGCCATGCAGCTCAGGAACGAATGGCCTGATGTAGCTATGTTCGACGCATGAGAACATCCCAGTAAAATTCCATATTTTTTTTCCTTGTGGTTGTGGGGGATTTTATTTACTCGAGTTCTTCATAAATTAGTTATAAAACCTTCGAATACAGCAACTTCAAGAACGCCACACTAGTATCCGACTCGTAGAAGGCGCTACAGCAGCAGCCTGTGCAGCCCTCTTAGGTAAAGCTGAAAATGAATAAGGTAAAGCTACGTAGATAAAGCCGAGAGCTCTCAGCTTTAACTAAGCATCAGCTTCATAAATACGGAAGCCCACTTACTGGAGACAAGCTTTCAGCAAACGAAAAACCCGTTATCAGCAAGGAACTTCCCCATCTATAAAGCTGATGCTTAGGTAAAGCTGAAAGCGAATAAGTTGAAGCTATGTAATTGAAGCTGAGAGCTTTCAGCTTCAACTGAGCATCAGCTTCATAAATAGGGAAGTCCACCCACTACTCGTTTTTTCTTTCATAAGTTTAGGTTTTCTTTAATTCACTTTTCTTTGTACTGCTGTATGAAATGAACTTGTTTTGAGCAGTTTGAATAGATTTGTTTCTGTATTCAGATTATTGGCAGCTGCGCATGTTCTCAGATTGGTGGTCGACGACTTTTGTACTGTGTTGTGCTGTTATGGTCGATCAGTACACTGTTAATCCCATTCGTTGCTCCCTCTTATCACATGCTTATATTCTCGAGAGTGGTCCTCGGCCTCGGCGAAGGACTTGGTACGTAAAATATTTTGAATTCCCCGGAAAAACTTGGCATTTTTCCTGAAAATTAGCATTTTTTTGCAGGGCTTCCTACGATGTACCATATATTGGCGCAGACAGTACGTTCAAGCCGGAGAAGCGCCGCTTTCTCATATCTCTCAGCAGCTGGTGCAGTCGGGCAAACATTCGCTGCAGCAGTTCGTCTTCTTTTTTTTTTCAAATTTTCATTAAATTTCGACATTTTACATGAACGTTATAATTACTAGTCCGTTCAGGTGTGCCCACACTTGAAATGGGAGCTGTCTTTCTATATTTTTGGAATATTGGGAATTTATTGGTGTATTATGTGGATGCGGGCCAATGTTGATTTACCACCGCCAACCGACCAGCATTTGCTTTTCCAAAGGGTATGCTTTTGAGCTTTAGTCGAATATAAGTCCGATAAAACGGCCTCGGGAACCAGACATGACAGAAAGCTGGAACTTTGCAGGGATATTCTCTGTGCATGTGTGAGCTAAAGCGGATTAGAGGAAGGAGGAGCCTTTTGTTAAGATGTTTTAATACGATTGTGTTAAACGTATTTTGATGAGCCACAATTCATTCGTGTTTGCACCACCAGTTGATCGTCGTACTGCTACAGTTGTTACTATCTTTCTCCGTTTTTGAGCGTTTTTTGCATCTATGCAATGCAAAAACATATATTTTCGAGGGATTGTATGTGTGTGCGTCTGTACCGAGCTTACGAATTTTGATCTCGAGACCTACAAAAGCTACAAGGCTGAAACTTCGGGAACTTAATCTACTCGCATGTGTAGGTTCCTATCCCTAAAATGGACACTCTTGCTCACGTGGTACGTAAGGCCCCATGGAAGTTTTTGGCGGTTAAACTGCTAACCCGGGGACTGGAAATGTTAGAAAGTTGAAATTTTAAGGGAATGTTTTCTGACAGCCATAATGACCAGTTTCAAATCTTTTAGCTAGAAGCATCTGCCGGAAAAACAGTGCTGTTAGCAACAAAAACTTGCGGGGAACGGTACAAAAAACGAATCTTCGCACCGGCAGTCACTTCGCTGGCTATTATTATGCGTTTTTTGCAGCAATACAATGCGAAAAACGCATATTATCGAGAGGTTCCTTGTGTCTGTGTGTTCCTCTGTCGCGCACCTTCACCTGCGGGGCTGAAATTTTGGGAACTTAATTTACATGCACGTGCCGGCCCCAATCCCCAAAATGGGCGCCAAAACCCGCGTGGTACCCGCGTACGGG